ATTGGGACCAAAATTTAAAAATTTTCTCTTCCAAAAATTGAAGAAAATCAATGAAGGAAGAGAATTAAAGTAGGGAGCTTACTTAACTCACACTTGAGCTCACAACCACCGCAATTCCTCTCAGATTTAAGCTCTAACTCTCTCTCTTCCTCCTCTCTTCTCTACTATTTCCTCTTCCTTTTGGTCTCTCATTTCTCTTGTTCTTTGTTTCTTTGCTTTTGTTTCAATTTTTACATGCTTTTCTTTCTAAAAACTGATTCTTAAAAAATTAGGAAAAATTACAAGGAAGGGCCAACATTTTTTTATTATAACACAAAAGCCTGAGGTAACTTTAATAATTTTTCTATAATTAAAAATCAAATAAAATCAAAATTTTATTTGATAGAATTTGACCTCTAGACTTTTATCAAATTATTCTTATTTTTAATTTAATTATATATATATATATATATATAATTTTTTATTACTTATTTTTCAATTAAATTCGAGTAGTAAAATTTTTGGGATGTTACAGAATATATGGTTGCTCAAATCTAAAGTACTTTTCAGAAATACTTGAAAATATGAAAATAAGAGATCTAGTATTGAGTGGAATTAGAATTGTAAAATTACCTTGGTCAATTTGCAACCTTACTCTGCTTGGAAGTATAACTATTCATTCTCATAAAGGAATGACTGAGCTGCCAAGAAGCATGTTTCTATTGCCGAAAATGAGTTATATCTATGTTATAGATGGTGGAAAGTGGGACTCATCTATTTGGAAGGAAGCCCGTGAATAAGCGATGTGTTCTATGCCATGGCCTATTAATGTTTATATTTCCCTCTAGGGATGTAATATATCAAATGAGATAATTAGAATATTACGTACTTGATTTATCAATTTGATTAATCTAACTTGAGTGATAATAATATTACAATTTTTCTTGCATCGATAAAAGAATATCAGTTCTTGAAGACCCTTAAGTTATATGGGTGCAAGCATCTGAGAGACATTGAGTGCCTTCCATGTCACACGCCGATACTAAATGTAACATCTTGAAAATTTTAAGACTCAAATTTATTTAAAATAAAATAAAATATTTATAATTAAATTAAAATTAAGAATAATTTGACAGAGGTACAAAGTTTAAATTTTACTTAGTAAATGTTTATTTTTATTTTATTTTTAACTATGGAAAAATTACCAAAATTGACCTGAGCTTTTATGTTATAACAAAAAGATTTGGGCTCTTTCTTGTAATTTTCTCCAAATTGTTTAAATTATTTTAAAAGGAAAAACAGCACGCAGAAAACAAATGAAACAAGAAAACAAAAGGAAAAGAAACACACGAACAAAGAGAAGAGGAGACGATGGAGAGAGGGGAAAGAGAAGAAAGCTAGAGCTCAAATTTAGGAGGCTTTGTGGCCATTACAAGCTCGGCTACACGATAGATAAACTCCTTACTTCAATTCTCTTCCTTCCCTGCTGGTTTTCTTAAATTTTTGGAAGTGAGATTTTTGGATTTTGATCTCAAAGGCTTTTTTCTTATAAGCTTTGGTTTTCTTGGATCCTAGAAAGGTTGTTTTGAGTTTCTATGTGGTGCTCTAGTATTTTGAGTGGGCAATTGGATAAAAAAAAAGGAGTTTTAGGGCAAAAATAAACCCCAAGGGATTGGGTTTTTGCTTTAATGATTTAAACCTATTGATTGGGTTATAATCATGCTATTTAAAGCCAATAAAATTGAAATTAAGCTTTAGTTTTTATTATAAGGGCTAATTATGAAAATTGGTAACACTAAGTAAAGGTTTTTTGTTAATTAAAAATTGTATGGTTTGAAAATTTACCTAATGGTGGGTAATAAATGATTTTAGTGGTTAAGTGGTAATATGAGAATAGTTGATTTAATACATGGACCATTAGGATGGATTATGGCTCATTGACCCAAGTTGTGTGGTATAAATTATAGTCTTCTTTTATGCTATTTGCCATGAAAAGTGATGTGGATCACTTATGTGTTATGGGGAATAGTTGGTTGAACTTATTGAGAAGTTCAAGAATAAGCCAAGTCTTATATTGTACAAGAGAAACCCTTTTGGTACTAAAGGGTTGAGGTAATAGAAGAATTTATATTTCTTATTGCTTTGTTTAGCTATTTTTGAGTAGATAATATTATATGGCATGCATCACATATTTTACATAATTGAATGCAAATAAAATGTGTTTTATAAGGGTTTATGGGATATTGCTTTGATATTAATGCATCTATGTTTACTATCTATTTAATAATGATGTTACTTATGAAAATAACATTATTAGCATGTATTGTGGTCATAAAAAAAGAGGAGTTACAATTAGGCAGTGCAACTATGTTTGATATCTTAAATAGGCTAAGGAACCGCTTAAGAGATGAATTATTGGTGTTATACTACCTTGAGTGTTGAAGTGGTCAATACTCAGTAAAGGTTGAAAGGAGTAGGAGGCATGATCTCATTAGGAGTTCACCAATGGGGAGATGTGGTGTGATATTCTATGGCTCATTGTCAGCACTTAATGTTGCCTTTTGTATTATGGGCTCAATATACTAAAGTGGTTAGTGGATTGAGTGTTTGACACCTCCTAATGGGGGAGGAAATTCAGCATATAAAGTGTGAGGTTGAGTGCCTAGGCTAAGGTAGCCTTCACATGGAGAGTAAGTCAGGCTAGCGTTGGGAGGGAGTTAGCTTCAATTGCTCAGGATTTACATTGAAGGGGCACAAGTAGTTCGATAGATCAGATCGTCTTAGTTTATATTTTGTGCTTGTGGAGGTACAGTGAGTGTAAGGTTTACTTACAAGCTAAAGAGTGCCAACGGGCATTTTGTTGGTCAAGAAAGATCATATCAGCCTATCTCATACATTTATGCATTTTAATTAGTTAATTATATATTATTTTAAATCTATTATTTATTTACTTGACTATAGCTTTTCTTATAATAAGGAATATTGATTTCTCTATTACTGAGACTGTGGTTGTCTCACCCCTTTCTTTATAATATTTACAAGTCTAAGTAAAGGATCCAGTAGTGGACGAGAAAAAGAGCTGAGCTAGGGGTTTGCTTGTGGATTGTAAAGATATGTAACCCCTTTCTTTTGAGTAAGTAATGTATTTAGGTTAGGGTGTTAGTAGGATGTGACTATACATATATGAACATATGTATAGATTGTGTGTGTGCTTGTGCATGAATTTTTGTCGCTTGTAGACTTGTGTTTAGGAAACTTGGTTATAATATGTGGTTTTGATGGATTCATTTAATAGACCAAGTTTTCACTACAAGAAAATATTTATTTTGGTGTATATATATGAATATGTGTGATTCTACACGCAATTGTAAAGTGGTTGCATTGCGAATTGTATGCTAAGGGAAAACATATACCTTGGATAAAGAGAGTGAGTGTATGGGCCCAACGGGGATCTCTGAGCTAAATGAAAATATTTAGCATGTGCATTTATATAAATACATGGTGTTTGGCTTAATTTTTGAGCACTCTCGTATGATTTGTGCATTTTGGAGGTTTAAGGTCCATTTTGAGAAATAGCACCTGGGTGGTCAAATTTTGATATAAAAAGTTTTTCTATCATTTAAATATTCTAATAGGTACTCTTAGTCATATTTGACGCATCCAAAGTGTTCCTACAAGTTTGTGACCCTTAGGATGAGATTTGGACAATTTTGAAAATGATTTTTACCAAAAAATTGCACTTTTACATGTATTTATATGTCCTTTTGTACAAGTGATTCTTTTATTTAAGTTATTGTATTTGTATGTCCTACTTAATTGAATTAGCTAAGTAGTCCTAGAAATATAAGGATGTTTATTATTGAATTACAAAATTATTAATTCGTAAAACATAGTGTATTTCATCATAGATTTTGTTGTCCATAACAAATATGATTAGTTTAGTAGGCATGATTGTAATCTGTTGTCCCATTACTTTATTTGTTGACTAGACTATTTCAACCTTTTGTAACATGCAGACAATGAAACCACAAAGAGCTCATTTGATGACGATGTCAATGTTGATTAAACCAATATTGATGGTTTGGCATTCCTCTTTCTTTATGCTATCGATCAATGTTTTTTTATTGGATTTGGCATTTGCATTTTCCCTTGTTTCTTAAGCAGAAGAGTATGAAAGAGGATAATAAAATAATAGTAAGCCAATTTTCTTATCTTTCCTATCAAATAATAATAGCTTCATAACTCAAAGAGGCTTCAAAATTCTATCTAAACACACTAAAAATGTGTAATAGTAGTAAACTCTCCTTGAATTTTTCTTCAGAAACAATTTTTGACAATCCTGATGTGAATGTGTTTAGGCTAAATATGAAACGTTGCTCAAATAGGTCATGAGGTTAGTTAGGTTGAGTATTTAAAATGTCAAGCCCAATATAAACAAGAGGTTGGCCCCGAAGCTCAATAGGGTCCATAACACATAAACATGCCAAAATCCTATCAGTTTCAAATATAAGATCGTTGGCATGAAGACATGATCCTAAGTGATGCCGAAATCCACACCCAAGTAGTTTGGTGAAAAAGGTTATTGATCAAAATGGAGAGACCGTATGATAAGTTTTGTGGGATTCTTGATTCTTAGGTAGAACATGCTAAGTTTCAAAGAAAGTGCTTCTATTATCAGATACTATAAATTGAAAGAACAAAAAAAACAAAGAGTTCAGTCAACACTCGATCAAGACTTGCATAGTTTACATTTATTATCACTTTTTAGTTCTTAGTTTTTAGTCTATAATTTTCAAATACTTCAATAAAACTACACACTTGTTCGACCAAAGCTTACTATCTTTTTACATTCGAGCGAACTATGGTAAGGGAACTCGGGACTCTTTCATTATCTATTGAGACCCAGCGTCTCTAGTATGACTAATATTTATTATTCAACCACAAACAATTTGTGGCATGCCTGGTAGGACTTGTGTAATAAAGATGGCAAGGATGTGAAAAGACAAGGATTGATGAAACAGGTACTGGTTCTCATGAACTAGAAGGGATCTCTACGCATGTAAGATCAAAATACTTATCGCTCGATGCTGGAGCAACTGATCATTGTGAGCACGTAGTATTGATGACAATAGATAGCAGCAGCACGAGTCCTGGCTCCAAGTCAGGAAGTGGCCAACCCAACCCACTGATCATATCTAATAGACCTGTGGTAGAAGTGTTACGGAGAATTCAAGACCGGATGGATAAGCAGCTAGAAGAGAACAAAAGGTTCTTTGCAATATCCCTGGAAATATCAGAATGCAGGGAGAAAGAATGACAGCAAATCATGATGCAGGTTCTACATTAAGGCATGAGGAATATAGTCGCATCATTAAAAAGCACCCATCAAGAAGTGGGCTCGAACATAGGGCCGCTCAGGGGGCAGTAAGCTGAAGTCAATATAGGTGTTGGCCATCGAGGCTGCATACTTGTAAGAGACATCCTTAACCACCAAGTACTTGCACATACTCATCCATCAATTAACCTTTCGTATTTTCTACAGGATCCTAATATGAGTAGCACGGGAGGCACAGCAGTGATCTCGAAATGTGTGGTCGAGCCTCAGAACCAACTGGTGAACATGAAGGCTCTAAGGGATGCCGTTCAAGATATATACGGACTAGGGCTGAGGCTAATTAGCTACCCCACCTTCTTAAAGCCTTATCTGGAGTATATAGATAGGAACAACCCATACCCTTAGGGGTACAGGATCCCTGACTTCACACTATTCTCGGGAGACGGTACACAATCAACCCTGGAGCACATTGGGAGATTCACAATCCAGTGTGGTGAAATTGCTAATTATGAGAACTTCACTAACTTGAAGCTGAGGTTGTTTCCAAATACTTTTACGGGGCTGGCATTCACATGGTATACGTCGCTACCTTATAACTCAATCATCAGCTAGATAGAGATGGAGTAGAAGTTCCGCATCTAATTTTATAAAGCAAAACCAGAAGTCAGCATAGCAGAACTCTGCAAGCTCACACAACGGGCTAGAGAGATAGCAGACTAATACTTGGTGAGGTTCAAACATCTGAGGAGCAGGTACCATGTGCCACTTCCAAAAACTGAATTTGTCAAGCTGGCTCAAGCAAGATTGGATATAGAGCTCTGAAAGAAATTCTAGGGGATGGAATTTCAAGATTTCTATGAACTTGCAACCAAGGTTTGGAGGTTGTTAGGAATTACTCAAGGAAGAGGATCATTTCTGACAGACTATAACTGGGACCTACTTTGGGGACCTGGACATAGCGGTGGCAGAACTGAAGAATGCTAGTAACTACATATACCCAGATTTAGTTAGGAAGGCTAGAGAACTACCCAAAATATCAAACACAGTCTAGTACACCTTTGATACTATAAAAGAAGAGGAAATTTTTGATTTCCTCCTCAAGGAAAACTTTATCTCCCTGCCTATGGATCATGTGATTCCTTCGAAGGAAAAACAGAGAGTGAAGGAATACTATAAGTATCATCACTGATGGAGCCACAGTTCTAAGGCATGCTGGGGATTTAAGAATGTCGTCCAGGATCAGATTAATAAGGGAGTTCGAAAATTCCCTAAGGAAGAATCCATGGTGGTAGACGAGGACTTGTTTCCCCCATTTGCTACAGTCAACATGGTAGAGATAGCCTCTAGCAAACGATGGCTTAGGAAAGGTGATAGTAAGCAGAAGGATGGGAGACCTTGAAATGTCTAGAATAGGAGTGAAGTAACTCAAAGAGACTCTAAGACAATATAGGACTGCTTGAGGAAGCTTATGGGCTGGTCTAGTAAGAATAGGTCTTCTAAATGGGATGTAGGCTCGAAGGGGTAGAACATGAAAGGCCTGGATGGCTATAAAGTAGTTTAGGACCATTTAGGGAAAACCCAAAACGAAGACAGTCAGCAAAAAAAGAAGGAAAATAGCAAACGACCCTCAGGATGGGATGTTGGCCTAGGAGGATTAGTGATGACAGAGCCAAATAGATCTAAGGTGGTCTGGGATCGCTTAGGAGAACCATCTGGCAAATTCAACTTCTTCGTAAAGTACTCAGTATCCCTTAGATCAGGAAAACCATTGGAGGGGACACCAATGAGCTGGGATGTAGGCCCCAACAGCCTACCGTTACCACTATTAATGATATTAAAAAATAGCGCAGAGCTTCCTTCAAAACCAAAAGCCACTCAGGGCTCAGGTAGGTTTGTTACGCCGCCTAGCAATGTGCTGCTTCTGAAATGGAGAGTTGTGAGGCACAAAAAATTCCTAGCTGCATTAACAAGAACCCAAAAGCGACGTCTTCAACGAAAATGGGCTACATAGAGGTACCTTAAACAGCAAAAAACTAAGGTACAGGATAGCCCTGACATTCAACAGGAGGCTAGCAAGTTCAGAAGAAAGTCCACCGAGGATCAGGACGAAGGAAGCGAGGCTAAAAATCAGAAAAAGGGGAGCATTCACGTTAGAGAAATATCACTCAACCTCTACTGCGTGGTCTCCTTAACATTACCTTCTCAATTTCGATCCACCATTGGCAATACCCAGGACCAGTAGGAGCAAAACTCCTCAGTGCCAACACAGATGGGCCTGTATCAGTATTGCCTAATGGAGCTAAGAGAAGAGGAGGAGTACGAGCCTATAAGCACACAGGCATAGAAAGAAATGATTGCGGAGCCTGTTTGCCAAATTACTTTACAAGCAAGAGAAAGGAAACCAAAGCGGACTGTCCTAGAGAAGCGCAAAGATGACTCAGCACCTAAAGCCCTTATACATCAAGGTATATTTCGATGGGAGACCGATGACTATAGCTTGGCAGTGAACATTCTGCTAGCCCACATAATGATCAAGATGGGGCGAGAGGAGCACGACTTAATGCCGACTGAGGTATCAATTGTAGGGTTTACTGGGACCACATCTAAGGTCCTCGATGTACTATCGTTATATGTTGATGTCAAGACTAAGTCGTCACTAACAGCCTTTTTCGTGATTAGTACCATAGCTCAATACCAGGCTCTCCTGGGACAGGATTGGATTCACGCTAATGAATGTATACCCTCTTTACTATACTAGATGCTCCTTATATGGAAAGGAGAATAGGTAGAAGTGGTCTGGGCTGAAGACAAGCCATTCATAGCAGCTACTGACTTCGTGGATGCGAGGTATTATGATGCTAACATGGGCCAGTTCACATTCTAAAAGGCTCAAGGAATCCTTTCATGCAGAACAACACCATAAGCTATAGCGCGAGCCTATTATAGAACTGGTTAATGACTAAAGCAAATGAAGGAAAGGTCGTAGTAGCTGCGGCCATCTAAAAGTTATGGTTGCCTAATCTATAAGAGAAACTAGAAGACTATGAACCTGAGACCTATGGGACTAAAGTTGTAAATGAAGATGAGACCCAGAAGATAGCACAACTACATAAGCTAGACCTTATACCTTTGAAATTTAAAGACATAGCCCCAGAGATCTAAGATTCACTAAAAGAAGTAAACCTCAGATCCCTAGAAGAGCCAAGGATCATATTCATTAGCTCACTACTAGATAAAGAATAGAAGGATGCCATCAAGCTAACACTACTGGAGTTTAAGGACTACTTTGTATAGGATTATGATGAAATACTAGGGCTGGCTAGGCAACTGGTCGAGCATAGGCTTCTTGTAAAGCCAAACTATAGACCGCACTAATAGCCCGCCTACAGAATGTCAGTAGAGGTGGAGCTACGAGTAAAGGAGGAGATCAAATGCCTCCTATGGGCTAGATTCATATAGCCCTGCAGGTATGCTCAGTGGCTCTCAAACATAGTCCCAGTAATCAAGAAGAACGGGAAACTGTGAGTTTGTATAGATTTTTGAAACATAAACACGGCCACACCTAAAGACGTGTATGCAATGCCTATTGCAGATAGGTTAATAGATGCTAGGGCTGGAAATGCTTTATTATCATTTATGGATTCCTTCTTCGAATACAATTAAATATTTATCACAAAAGAAGACGTTCATAAGACCACTTTCAGATGCCCAGGCTCCATTAGGACTTTTGAATAGGTAGTTATGCCCTTCGGACTAAAGAATACTTGGGCCACCTATCAGTGGGCTATGAATGCCATCTTTCATGATATGATAGGAAAGCACCTAAAAGTATACATAGATGACATAATGATAAGATCTATGAAGGCATATAATCATATTGAACATTTGAGGATGAGTTTCCTTTAAATGAGGGAGGTTGACCTTAAGTAAATCTACTAAAGTATGCTTTCAGTGTAACTGTAGGTAACTTCCTTAGATTCCTAGTCCACAGAAGGGGGATTGAAGTAGACTGAAACAAAGCACAGGCCATCTTGGAGGCAAAGGCACCAAGCAACAAGAAAGAACTTTAAAGGTTCCTAGGGTAGGTTAATTATCTTATGCGTTTTATCCCGAACCTTGCAGGGAAAATGAATGAGTTTTTTGAACTCTTAAAACTTAAAGATGTCAAGGAATTCACCTAGACTAAACATTATCAGGTAGCCTTTAATAAAATTAAAGAAGACTTGACAAAACCTCTGGTCTTAGCAGCCCCAAGGGAGAACACTCTATTTCTATTGTATTTAGCTTCTACCGCCACATCCATAGGTTGTATGTTAGCCCAAAATGTTGATAGGGGACGTGAGTAGGCAGTCTATTATTTAAGTAGGTGTTTAACTCCCACTGAGACCAGATACTCAATTGTGAAAATAGCACGTTTGGCGTTATATTATGCTTGTACTAAGTTAAGGCATTATATAATAAACATAGTTGTGTATGTGGCTTCTCATTCTGATCTGATTAAATACATGCTTAGTTGGCCAATCATGACGGGCTGTATAGAAAAATGGAGTTTGGCCTTGGCAGAATTTTCTTTAATATTTTTATCTCAAAAATCAATAAAGGGCTAAGCATTAGCAGACTTCCTAGCTGATCATCCCTCAACCGGGCTCCCTAAAGATGAAGAGGAATTACTGGTGTTCTCAATAGATCTAGGGCCCTGGGTGCTTAAGTTTAATGAATCTAGCACTGAACAGGCATCTGGGGCTAGTATAGTGATGACCTTTCCTACAGGGATAAAAACAATACTATCTCTTTAATTAAATTTTAAGTGTACTAACAACCAGGCAGAGTACAAAGCACTGCTCACAGGGCTTGAGCTTCTTTAAGAAATGAAGGCCTGTGATGTGGTCATAGAGAGGGATTCGTAGTTAGTCATCAAACAATTAACTAGTGAGTACAAGTGCACAAGCTCAACTCTAGTGATGTATTATGCTGGGGCTTCT